AGGGGATTACACTGTGTGCAACACCGAGGTACGAGGATCCCGAAGAGTTAGCCAACTCTCAGTACGTCAGGGTTGAGTTAAAATAAAACTGAATCATTGCTAAAGAAAAATACTTGACCTACAAATTTTGTACGAGCTGGCTACAGGGCGCAGCGACTCGCTTATTTCACAAAAATTACATGCAATTGTGACCGGATTATCAAACAGCGACACTGCCTTAACAAGACGCGTCAACAGCGGGACCGCATAATCCGCATCAACAAAGCAGATTACCGGTAGCAATCCGCATCAGCAAGATACTCTTAGTAAACCGCTTCAGCAATGGCCTCCAATCTCCCTCGGCCGTAATTCCTAAAGTTGGAATACACCCTCAATACCAAAAAAATGCGGTCCCGATCACCAGCACCTTGCGAGCTTTAGTTATTATTCATGCTACCCCTCAGTTGTAAAAAGGAGCGCAACGCCAGGCAAATATACCTATTAAGGGGCTCACCTATATACTGTATAGGACGCCGCAGGGCCAGCGTAGCGGCTCCAGTTTTCACGACCATTCTCTCACTCATACCATACCTTATACCCGTCGTCGACGTAGCGTAAACCTAACCAGCCCTATCCCTGACAACCCTGGATTTAAGCAAGTGACTTGGATTTAAGGACATAAATTCACAATTCGGTACAACAATACATTTTAAGGGCCTGACTCACTTGTATCACGTTAGTACTGTCCCCACATGGTCAATAGTGCTGACTCAACTCGAAAAACGTTGGAACCGTATCTACGGTACAAGTTATGTTACCGTATGTTCTTCTTCTTCTTTAAACCGTCAACACGAAAGCGTAATCCAGACCTTTCGTATACATGCACTTGGAAGTGCACGTCGCATGAGGGTACGAACAGTCTTCGAGGTAACTGAGATCATTATTCAATTTACAAGCACCAAGACCTCCCCCTACCACCCAGGATGAAGCTTCTGAAACTCCTCTCTATTGTGACTGCTGTCGCCGCTACAGTGGATGCTGGAAACTCGGGGTATCTTCGTGTAACTAAGGACGACAGTGCGAATGGCGCAACGAAGTTCGTCTTGTCTGACGTTAACCAAGCTGAGCAAGCATTCACTAGCCCTTGTCCCGAAAAATGTCCTCTGAACTTCCAACCAGTTAAGGACGAAGATGGCGTTGTGCACCAGAACAAGTGCATACAGCGCCTACTGGGGTGCCAGGAGAGCAACCAGCTGTCTGCAGCTGACTTTTCCAAAATACGTCACTTCTTTGACAGTATTGAGGGAACTATCGAACTAGACGGCAGTGGAAGTGCTGAGGAAGTTGTCGTGACCGTCACTAGCGCCGAAGTGCCAGATAAGATAGCGAGAAACGCGCCCACCGAGCCGAAAGGCTTCCCAGAGCAGTTACTGGTGAAGATACTGAGCGGAGGTTCATCGCACGAGGGAGATATGTCTTCTTGAGGAGGACAGTTTTAACGGGATTACTGTGTCTACAAAGGCGACAAGTCCGTAAAAACAAAATGAAACCGAGGTTTTCGTGGTGGTAAATTGGCCTTCTTTATTATTTAATATTGTCTCTTAGAAGCCGTTTGAAAGTAAAACGCTGTCCTTATCGGCTATTCATTTGCGACTACATGTTCAGTTATCCAGGTAGTGCTACGAGTAGTAATTAATTCGAGATTATGTGCCCACACCAAAAGTAGGTATCGATTCGATACAAATTTCATATGAGAAGGTTTTATTTTTCTACCAATTTGTATAAACTTCACAGGTTCCACTCCAAGTAAAGGTTTGGCATGGGTATAAACTTATAGAACCTTGGTGTACGAAAGAAAATATTGCTTACTTAAAAAATGCTTGGATATGTTTTTTTTAATAAATTTACTTTTTTCAGTTTTTCTTACACGGCTAGGTGTTGTGCTAGAATATCACTATTATCGTATTTGTAGATCTTAATAGCTATAAAGAGGTCTGCAAACAAAGCTGTCGAGGCCCAGCGGCATTATCCGTCCACCTCTAGCCCTTGTCTGCAGTGGTTTCAATGCCTTGCTGCTGCCACTTGACGCAGCATCGAGATGCTGAGGATCCTGAACATGGTGATTTTGGAGCTCTCGGTATTTTTCGCGAAGTGATAAGTCCGCTCGTATGTGTCGTTAGGCGGGCGTCACTAGTGGTGGGCTCGACCGGCCCAAAACTTCCCCGAGCAGAGCGGAGATAAGTAAATAAGTGGACGATAAGTAGACGAGCAGAAGCGTATAGTATCATGTAGGCAGAGCGAAGATAACCGCAGCAGCTCACTCAACGCCGCGGCGACGAAATATAGTGCCCTCGGGCGGTGGTCGCAGCAGCTGGTGAGCTCGCTGAGAAATTGTGGTTGTGAAGAAACAATCTTTCCGGTGATAGAAAATGATAACCTCACTCAAATCGTATTACCTTCTTAAATAAATTTACAAGTTCTGGATGTGCTGGAGTTTAGTGTGGTAATGTATCTTATCTGTATATGATTGTTAGGTAAATTTCAACCGATTTACAAGTGATCGAGTCTAGTTTTTTAAAATAAGGTGTTAAAATCTGCAAAATGTAAGGCAGCAAGAAGAAAAAAAACACTCAGGACCTCCCGGCTGATTGAAAATGACTACGAATTTGTAAGTTTTCATGAAAAGTAGTGCGTTTAAGAGAACAAAAGACCCCGCTGATGGTAAGGGAGTTGGTGCGAAGCCTTTGGCTTTCCAGGGCTACTAGCAGCACTACCAGCCCAACACTCTAGCTAATACCACAAAAGATTATAACGGGAGACTCGGTACCGGTAAATTCTCAATATTTATATTCAGAGTTCTAGGAGTCTTGGAAGGTGTCCAATTTGGAATAGGCTATCCTGGTAGTGCTTCAGAATGAAAATCCAAAAGGTTTCAGAAAAATATCACTGGAAAGAAATACAATATTGGTACTTAAGCTAGACAATTTATAAAAAGAACGGTTTGCATCAGACTAAAAGTCCAGAATAATTTCGCTAAATCAGTACAAGCATCGACCGCTTTTACAAGGTCATTTATTGAGGAGGATGCATTTGGGTTTTCAGTCGTCAAACAACTCGCTCATGCTGAATCCGCTCAGCGATCTCGGGGGTAGGACAAGAGCTTAGCTCGCGTAACATGAATGAGGGAGGTAGAGTTGGTTTGCAAGCTGCAAGCCAAGGACTGGAAAATTCAAAACGGAATGGAGAAAAAACAGCGTCGCAAAGAGAAACCTCATGAAAGGTGAGTAGTAGCTCATGCACAAGGAACGAGCTCGACTGAATCTGGAATACCAATAGCAGATTGCACACTCAAAACACACGGCTACTAAGTCCAGCGAAAGCGAACTGAGCCAGGAAATGAACCGCCTCGTCCTAGGAAGCAAAATAAAACAATTGGTCATGCTTCGTAAAGTTAGTGTGCATTTCAATGCTTTTGTCCTATTCACTTAGCCTGATGCTCGATCTATAATAAATAGATTTTGTTTTATAAAATCGAGGTCTAAAAAAATTACAATTCGATCTAGCTTCACTGGCTGATAAATCGAGCTACGCCAGCCAAATCGACCGCTAGGGATCGATCGGCCAACAAATCCACATTAATGTCCTGTAAATCGACCCTTTTTGCCGTGTTGAAAGGTTATTCGATCACAGATAAACAAATCAGTGCCTGTCTCTTCCCATCTCAATTTTACGCGTGGTTTTATACTCCGACCATGGTCGATTTAGGCTATCTCTTCGTGCCCGAGTGATGCAAACCTGCATCATCGGTCATTTTCTAAACAGATAGACATTCCATCCTCAAAGCACAATACTTCTTTCCCCGAAACAACACCAAAACAGCATTTTTTATTTACAAAAAACAGTGCGCCTTTTTTTCTTGTACCACATAGGTACGGATCAACTTTTGTCGTTTTTTAGCTTCGAACCACTTTAAGAACTTTCCTACATGTACCACCATGTCTTTTAATAAAGGACATTGCGGTAGGAAGCTAAAAAATGACAAAAGCTGATCTGTACCTAAGTGGAACAAGAAAAAAAGGCGCACTGTTTTTTTTCTACTGCTGGTTAATTTGAACTGCGGCCTGTCCAGCCCTACGCACAGGTTGGCCGGGAGGTGGTTGTATTGAATCCGTCCTCAGGGGAGAACGGACCTGAAACGGTGTAGATATTTATCACAGAATACAGACCCTACGGCAAGCATCATACCCATTTTGCGTTTCTAAAATGCAAATCGATTGCAGAAATATTTATCCCAGGTCTGCTTTTTCTTATCTCAATTTTACGCTTGTCTCAATGCTCGACCTAGGCCATAACATCGAGCGACATTTCATCTGCACATATATATTTGTACGTTTTATTTGGCATAAAAACAAACCGAAAAAAACGTTTTTAGTCATGTATTTTCAGCCCGGAACGTTATTAAACCGAAACGTTCATTGAACCTTTTAAGTTACAAGAGAAAGGGCACAATGCACTAAAAGCGAGCTGTAAAGGTGTCGATATCGCGCCGGTTAAGCTGCTGAAATCCAATAATTACGTCGTTGATAAGAAGCTAAGCTCAAGAGAAGTCGATGCCTTCTCCCAATGCTGTTTACTCCTTCCCGATGAGGTCTACAAGCGTGAAAACCTTCCGTACCATATGTTGCTTAAAATGATCAGGTTTTAGACCAATAAGAAATTAACGTAATTTCTTGCAAAAAATCATATACTATTAATATATGCACCAATCAATATCTGCAAAGCACAATACATGTACTGTACAATACACTGGTACTGTACATAGACAAAAATATATTTATGTCGTCACCGTACGATTACGGGACAACAGCGCCGCTTCAGACTGTACATAGACAAATCTGCTAATGTTGTAGAGTGTCGTTTTGTCCGACAGCCCCTCCGGGTGCCCTCGCTCCGTCTTTTGCATTGAAATTCAGGCTCCCACTTTGGAATTTGCTCTCCCTCTTTCAAGCCACAATATATCCATGCGCATTTCTTACGCACTCACGGTCACGGTGGCGACTCTCCTTGTTCCTAGCAACGCGCTCGTGAACTCAAAGCCTGCGATGCTGTCTCCACCCGGAGAGCCAAGTCAGCGTCATTTGCGGTCTCATGACACCCCTGTTCTGGTAGATGACTACAATGCTGATGAGGAGAGGGGTCTAGATAAAGCAGCGATGAAGACAATGTGGGAGGATGGAATGAGTGCTGCCGGCTATGCTAAGAAGTTGGGCATTACTGACAAAATTGCACTCGCTGAAAAATCGGCCGGCGTTCTCCAGCAGCTCATGCAAACCCGTAGGTACGAAAAGTACCAACAGTACCTCAACTATTTGGCCAAAAAGAACAAGAAGAAGAAGCCGGATCTTATCTACTTATCATAAGTAGAACGAGCCCCTGTCAAGTACACGAAGAACAAGCTAGATGTGTATTCGTATCGATCTCAAGTTCGCCACGCGACTCCGAATTCATAAAATCCACTGATACGATCGGTCTGCTTTTAAATTTTGCACATTCACTAACAGTATTTTTTAGATTCCTTTTTTGCTCGTGTGTAGCTAGCTAACATGTTAGTGGACTTAGTCCATTAAGGGGCTCATCTTCAACCTCACACACACAATGCTGGCAGGCATGAGACGGTTAGCTGGTCTGTTATGGTCTCCAGAACCCATCCAGCGATACCAATAAACGCGATAAACCAGGAAAAACGAATGGGCGATAACCCGTTATGCAATACAAACTAACGATCGATTAACCGAACTGCTTACAGAATGCAAAAAACATTTTCTTGTGTAATAATTCTGCTCAAAATAAGCTAGTACGCAATCTTATCTCATTTAAAGGTGCGAGGGGCGCGAGTTGTGACCAAAACGCTTGACAAAGGAAAACATGCAAAAAAAGAAATCCAAATACCCATTCTCTGGTGAACTCGGCCAACCAGAACCAGCCGGGCCCTGAAATCAGTACCCGTACCCAGTAAGGCAATCTTTTGGCTAGCCATATCCCCCATGGTTGCGGTCAATCCTTACCCGAACAAGTATGGTTAGCTATTTGCGACCTCAGCCTTTTAATGTACACCATTTCAGGTCCGTCCCCCCAGAGGACGGATCCAATACAACAAGCTAAAAATCGACAAAAGTTGATTCGTACCTAAGTGGTACAAGAAAAAAAGGCGCAGTGGTTTTTTTTTAATACTGCTAGTGGTTAATTTGAACTGAGGCCTATGCACAGGTCGGCCGGGAGGTGGCTGTATTGAATCCGTCCTCTGGGGAGAACGGACCTGAAACGGTGTAAATCGTAAACAAATGTATATCATAGCAAGCCACACTTACAATTATTCCCTTTACAGCACGGAACATGTGGTTGATTACTACATTTTCAGTGGGATTCGAAACGTCCGCACGTTGGATAATCACTGAGAACGACACGACAAAGGTCCAAACTGTATACGATGAGTACCGTACTGCACCCCGTTTTCGCGCCCTTGAACCTTTGATAAACTATCGGATGTGATGATCCAAAATCCAAATAAGCTACTGTTTGTATGCTAAAATCTGATTTATTTGCAAATCCTATATGAACCACACCCGCGAAAACGGGGTGCAGTACTGGATTTAAATTGGTTGTGTAGGTAAAAACATTGTGGTGGTATTGTGCTTTTCAGTTAATTTGGCAAAACGGGCCGAATAAACTATGGGTAAATTGAGGGGCTAGGTTACAATCCCGACAGAATACAGAAACAACCATCTAAAACTGGCGCTGCTAATGATTCTTAAAGAATCGGAGTATTATACGAGTGAAAACCTGTACTTTGACGTTCCACACTCCGGAATGGCTACGATCTCACAGCCATTCAAGGGGTTGGTTCAAAACTGGGAAGCCAGCCGGAGACGAATTGGAAAAGCGCCATAGATACCATGTACTCAGCTGATATCAAATGGAGAGGTATAGTTTTAATGTATGCCTACAATATCGACATCGCAGCTGTATCTACGATCCTGGGAGTGTCGGAACGCAGCTTAAGTCGCTGGTATCAAGATTTCAAGAAATTCGGTAACGTTCTTAAGGAAGGAGCTAGGAACAGGTCATCACGTTGGCCGGAGCATGTACGCGCATTTGTGCGCGAGTATGTCGCTGGTCATCCTTGCTTCTGCTTTGAGGAGCTGCGAAAAGAACTACAGACTACGTTTGACACCAGTATCAGCGCGACTGACGCGACTATTTGTCTTGCACTCCGAGTCGATTTGGGGCTGACTCGGAAGGTGCTAACCAAAAGGGCAAAAGAAAGCGTCCAAAGAGAACGAATGGAGTACATGAATCGCTTATTATCCTTCTACTCTGGACCAGAACAACTCGTATTTGTACACGAAACCTCGAAGGACGGAAGGTATGCTACCACAGCGCTTAAATTAATACTGTATAACCAACTAATGACAATACTCCTTTGTTGTAGATCTGTACTACGAAAATATGGATGGTCTAAGCGAAACACCCCTGCTCACGTTGCTCTACCGTTCTGTCGTGGCGCATGTGTCTCGTTGATTGCTGCTGTTGATGTAAATGGATTCTTTGGCTGGGGTATCACTAAAGGAACATTCTCACGAAGTACGTTTCACTCGGTGTTCAAGGCTAAAAGTGCGCTGTTCCTGAATCCATTATCTCTGCCGATGTCAATATTGATCACGGATAACGCAAAAATACACATGTACGAAGAGCTTCAAGCTTTAGTGCATGCTTCAGGAGCGTTGCTGCTATTCCTCCCTCCATATTCGCCAGCTCTTAACCCCATCGAAGTTTTGTTCTCTCTTTTAAAGAGATGTATTCAGCGTCATGCTAATATGACATTCCAAGCAAACCCAACTGCTGTGATGAAAAAAGCACTCTACTATTGCAGCAGGCAGAAAGAATCGATAGGCTGAATTTGTATAAATATTGTGGGTATCATTCTCATAAACAGGAAGTACAGATTAGCTAGGCGAGTTTCATAGCACTCAGTCTTCATCTCGCGCTCCTTCGTTTACATCGGGGGCGGCATGATCAGTGTCGTCGACATTGTGAGCATGATCTGGGGTATCTACTGTAATAAGCCCCCGAAATGGAGGGCACAAACTATAAAGAGGTAACCCAGCCTTTCCTGCAAGTCCTTAATGTTGACGCGCATTGGAACTGCAACTCCCTGTATCTCAATACGAATAGGCCGACAGTCGGACTCTTGTTGAATCTGGCCTGCTGACATTTCGGCATTCATGGACTGCTCTTGTCGATCGATGTGCAAAAGCTGCTGAAAGGTTGTGCTCTGAGGTAGCTCAATTGGTGTACCTTCCGGAAGTCTAGCCTGCGAAATAGCCATATAGTTTTGAGTTGCTTGGCCGCTTATTACGCCTTGTTCACGCAGAAAATCAGCGACTCGAGGAAGCTGCTCTTCGATTGTTTGGGCTGAAGCCCGTCGCATCGGTGTGCTTGAAGCGGTGACCTGCTTGGGTATGTAAAAAAATAGCTTGAGGACGAACCCGGCGTGGCCGCCCTTCCTGTGTCGGGCTTTAAGCCACACAGTAGCTAGTTGTGATTTGAATCCAGTGCCTTCGACAAGCTGCACGTATGCTTTCTGGCTGGCATTGTTGGTGAGCTTGAAGGTTAAGCACGAAGTCTTGCTGCCACTGAGCGGGCACCATTTCTTCGAGCTTCTTTTCCACGACCTTGCGAAGAGCAGTGGATCCATCAGCGACGGTCATCTCTAACTCTTTGGGTGGTGCCTTTTCATGTGCTCTTGTAAATGGCTCACCATTTTTTGCGGTCACTCGACACGTTATTGTGGGTCAGGTGGAGCTATGCGCGGCATGGTCAGATGGAGAATGAAGTAGATCTTGGAAAGCGATTATTTATATATAGCAAACACAACATCTATCGGTTTAAACCTCGTGATCTTACCCTCTCAGTCTTGAGAAGAGTTATTCTACGTTTCTCTCAATGGCGTAGTCCTCTGCGTAGTACGTCTCCCACACCACGTCGTCCGCGGAGTGTGTCTCCGCCATCACGTCGTCCTACGCCGTACACGCCTCCTCCATCACGTTGCCTTTGGACGTCGTGTTTGTATCCAGCATCACGTCAGCATTGGGCATCGGGTGAGTCTCCTGCATCTCATCGTCCCTCGACAGAGTGTTCATATCCTCCATGCCGCTGATTTCTGACGCAGTGTTGGCACAGCAGCCTTCAATGCCGTGCTCTTCTAAGCAAGCGCGTCGATCTTGGACGTAATGCGCCTCTCCACCGTCGTGTAGAACTTGGTCTTCGCAATCGTAATCCTCTACCCCAGCACAGCGGCCGTGGGCGCTGTGTGCAACTTACCCCCAACGGCCTTGGGCGTCGTGTGCATGTCTACATCGTGTCGTCCTCGTTGTCGCACACGGCTCCTCAGCTATCCCGCCCATGTGTGCTGTGCGTCTTCTCCAGAGCGGCCCCTTTGGCGCCGTGCATGTATCTCCCATTCCCCGACACCGCGAGTGCTTAGCCACCGTGACGCTTTACCACAGCTCTTAGCTTCTCGCTTTGCCACCCAATCGTGAATGTCCTATCGAACCACGTGGGTAACTCAAATTTACAAAACAAAAATCAGAGATCGATAGTCCGATTTTAAGGATATTTATCAGGAGTAACCTCAACATCAACAAATGTTGCAGTAAACACCTCAAGTTTAGTTTTAGCCAATTAGAACATGTATATAAATACGCCACGAAAGAAAACGGCTTGAGGCCAAAACAAAAAAAGACGAGTTCTATCCTCCATTCCCCCCCCCCCTGGATTCAAGTGGTAAGCTCGCTGGAAAATATGTAATCATAAAATCGTATTGCTGCTAATGTGCTCGGTATGCGCCTTGTTAGGCCTACTCATTATCTCTACATGTGTCTGCTTAATCTTTTGGAGCGACATGGTCGTACCGATGTCACACTGCATGACTATTTTCAATCTGCAGATGACGCAGGCCTCTTTTTAAAAGACGTTGCGCTTAACGACAGGAAATCGATCTCTCTAGAGTCGTACACTGGATCCTCCAAACTCTGGAAATGCACAGGTCAAGATTGCCCATGTTTGTAAAATTGGCGGCACTTAATTGCAGCCATCTACAAGGAGAAATGTGTCAACAGAAGTTTAAGCATTAGAGAAGAGCTTCTACGAACTTTCCATCGCGCGTACACGATCTCCTCATTTCACAGGGCCTTCAAAGATGTTTCAATTTTCTTGCCGATTGAGTCCGAGCTGGACTCGGATGTAGCGATGCATCCCCCACCTCACTATCGCCAAGCCGGACGTGCTGTAGGTCCTCTCAAGCCTAAGAAGGATCGTCAAAACTACGCAAAACGATATCTTAGCAACGGGGAGGTTCCTT